TACTATAGCTTTGTGATTCCATTACTAATTGCGTTTTTTATATTTTGCGGTACTTAAATCCCATTTTACAAATAACTAAATGCAGGGTGCCACAGCTTATTTTTATATTGGTTTCATCTTCTTCTAGCTTCTTTTTCAGTTCATCCAAGGTAGGAACAACTTCGTTTTGATAAAAGCAATATATTTTCCTTGTTATTAGGTCCTGATCACTATTGTGTATAGGGTGAGTTTGAAAATTACTTTGTTTATTCCTTTCTTCAATTCTCTACCATTAATAATACCCCTTATCGACGTTATTGGCGTTTTTGTGAGTAGGCGGGTTTCATTTAAAGCTTCCTGTTTAAAAAGTTTTCTACTGATTAAAGTTTTATACACATTTTTTAAAAGCTGTTTTGTATCAAGCCACAAATTATTTTGATCCTACATTGTTATATTCTCGTAAACTAACTTTTTCGAAACGCACAGTAAAAACGTTTATTCAACATTGTCACAAGTATTCAAAACTCCAGAAATATATCCGAAAGAAAGAAATATACCTGGCCAACATAATGAAGATTGAGACAGAGTATAACAAAAGTTGGACCTCGCCAGTTACGGGTTAAATTTGTGTACAATCCAAAACTGCATTCACATCTTTACGTCACTAGCACTACTTTTATTAATTTAGCTCTATAATGTCTTAACTCCCACTGGCAGTGATGTATTCCCGCTGATCTATTAAATCTTTGACTGAGGAAAATAAAGGGCGCGCTGTTAAAATGACAAAAACAAACTTCAAAACAAACGACTTTGCGCTCGTTCATCGCGCTATAACTTATCATCCTGCGGAATCGTTTCACTAGCTAAGCGAGTCCTCGGTATAGTCTGTACCTTTTGTCTGCTGCCATATTTTCATATGCTGCTCGCCTATCAGTCTTGTCTATTTCTATAGTGTCGTACACACATACTAATTACTTGGGAAAGAGGATATACTTGATATAACGGTCCTCCACTTGGTATTAATGTAGACGAAGGATCATTTTATGCTAATAGCAGTTCCAATTTTGTTTCTGATGATGATCGTACATACAAACTAAATATGGTTTACCTGTATATTTACGCTTGGTAGGTTTAGTTTTTTTTTGGTATTGTTTTAATATTTATTGCATGGACAGAGTGTCCAGACAATAGTTTATTTAGCAAATCATCATAATATTTCCTGTATTTTTACCCACCTAAATATTCGCATATCATTAAGGAACACCCTGATCTATTATTACAAAGAAACTACATGAATGCATCTCTGAGTATGGACGAACCAGTTAAATTAATAAATGCCAAGTAAAACGGACTCTGTCTCTCTTACTCCCAAGTAATACAATTGTGACCGTTATTGACGGTTGACTTGCATTGATCAGATAGACATTTAGTGAGGAACAACATCTGTTCAAGTACAAATAGAATCAAAATGAACAATCTATTTTATACTGTATGAATTTTATTGCTGACTATGCCATCACATAACGTACCGACTATAGCAATTATTTATTAAACAGGTCAGACGAACTGGCAAGTAGTAATTCCGATATGCCCTTCATTGAGGGGATGTATTCTCCAAAAAACAAAAACATTTTTTGAAAGTAAAAATAAAATATTTTTAGAGTTCGGTATTGTTGCTTTATAATTTTTATATTTCCAAGCGATGTTAATAAAAGGAATATAACGCTTTGTCACATTCGAATTAGCGATGCCTAAAAAGCTTCACTAATTTGTTGCCAATTTTGATGCCAATGACTTATTGAGCAGGAGTGATGTCAAAAAACAACCCTAAAACTTAAGGAGCCATTTGTTTCGGAGAGTTAGGTACAGATAAAATAATTCACAAAATGTTTTTTGTCTGTTCTGTCTAATGAACCCAAAAATCTATCTTCTAATCTTTAATAATTTATATTGGACGAAAGTCTTGTGCGTAGAGGCGAAGGTCTTAAGTAGATCATTAGAGGATCTTGCAGATGAAGAAATCGTGTTGATTTCCCAAAGAAACTTTCACAGACTACTGTAATACTTTTTACAAAACTTATGGATTCCTCCTGCGTCGGTTCATCGTGTTGGCTTCTTTATAGCTTGACTGAAACTGGCTAGCATTTTACTCTGTACCGGAGCTAAATGAGAGGCATAAACACTGTCTCGGATGACTGATTCCCATATTGGTGCCAGGTAAAGACCTGAGTTGCGGTCAAGATTGTTAGGTTGTTTATAGATTCCTATAGAGTGTATGAGTTTATTTGTCTTAGTCTTAAGGCTCATTCATGTTCTTCGAGCCAAGTTCATATTTTTCGTCCGGTCTCTCCAATGCTTTGCCGCATACACAGATAGAGGTAATGCTACTGTGGTTTGAATATAAATGAATATCAGGAAAAAATTCAAGATATTCTTACTGACGGATCATATCGTCAACTTAAAAAAGATCCTACGTCAACTTCGACCCGTTCGACCTAATGTCAGCACCATTAGTTCTCCGACATATTATCTCGCAAAATATCTAGCTTCCTTATTAAAACCCCTTACAGGGAAAACTGACAGTTTCGTACTTAATTCCTTTCACTTCATTGAACAATTAAAAACCATTACATTAGATACACAAGATATTCTAGTTAGTTTCCATGTAGAATTCCTCTTTATCAAAGTTCTTGTTATTGAAACTCTCATCATCATTTCAGATATATTAAAATCCAAGAATCTGGAACCAAACCTTCTCATCTTAATTGAAAAATGCTTGTCTGGAATATAATTTTCTTTTAATGGGTAAATATTTGAGCAAACTTTGGGAACAGCTATGTGTTCTCCACTATCACCAGTCATCGCGAACATATTTATGGAAGCTTTTGAGAAAAGTTACGTCGGTGATACTTTTGTTATTTGACCTCATTGTCAAGAATCCCTAGTACATTTTCTTAGACATTTAAACTCTATACACCCTAACATACGTTTTAGCAATGAGTTTGCAACTAATAATAACCTGCCATTCTTAGATATTCTTATCAATATAAAATCAGACCTAAAACCTACGCACACAGAGGATACCTTAATGCATGGTCACATCACTATCCGGCCCAAAAATCATCGATTACCAACTCTCTTGTTTACAGAGCAGTAAAACCATCTCAGCCCGAGTCACTGAACCCAGAATTAAAACATCTTACTTTTGCTCTTCTCTCGAATAATTTCCACATTAAAGATATTAAACGTTTCATCACAAAATACAAAAATACAATTCACCACAACCTTCCAATAGCAATGAGGTCGAAAGCAATCCTACAGTTGCCACTGTGGTCCCTCCTTAGACTCAAAACATCACTGACCACATATCAAAAGTTCTAAAGAAATATAACGTCAAAACCAGATTTACCACTTGTCCAAAAATCTCTCATCATCTTCGACCCGTCAAAGACAAAATTCCATTTGAGATGAGTCTTAAAACTCATCAGCAGTTCTTGCATGTAATCAATTCTTCCACCAACGAAAAAAGCCGAGAGTTTATAGAAATCTATAAACAACCTAACAATCTTAACCGCGACTCAAGTCTTTACCTGTCACCAATATGAGAATCAGTCATGCGAGAAGTTGTTTGTGCACATCATTTAGCACCATCAAACAATATATAAGCAGGTACAGAGTAAAATCCGAGTCAGTTTCAGTCAAACTCTGAAGAAGCCAACACGATGACTGGCGAAACGGTAGCAAGTTTGACTCAGCAAAAAGCGACGCCGGAGGAATCCAAAAGTTTTGTAAAAAGTAAGAAATCATATTATTAATCATCTTTAGTGACTGAAACAGCTAACGATTTAGAAGACGTTGAAGTAGTGCCAGAAAAAATTCAACAAGGTTACCCAGGTATTAGGTATTTTACAGAAGGGAATAGACAAACGTTATTTTAGAATTAAAATATTTCATATAAAACGAAATCAATAATATCAATTAAAACAAAGCAAGATAAGAAGCGTCAACACAAAACCAATTTTATTTAGGGGCGCAATTTAACACCAAGTTAGTATACATATAAAATGCATTTTTTTATTGAACTGTTATTTTCTGCGTCAACAATATCACAAGAACAGTTTTTTAAAACCATTTCTCAAGCATGAGCAGTAAAAAAAATGTGATTGGATTAAATTTTATCAATGAGTAGTGTATGTATTTCAAGAAAATTGTATCCATTTGTTTCTAAGCGCTAGTTATAAGATAAAATAATTCTCACAGTTTTCTGATCTGTTCTGTATAATAAATCCAAAAATGTGTCTTTAGCAATAGGTGCTATATTCATTTATGAAAATATTGCTTTTTAGTTCAGTCACAAGTATATCATAAGGGGAACTTGTGGACAAAGAAATAATGTTATTGTAAAAAATGTCAACTTCGCAAGAATAAGACAGTTTATGTTAGCGCTACTAATTTTGTTTGAGGACAAGCATAAAAAGTGACAACAGTGACAACTCATGCAATTGAGGAATAATCTTCGGTGACTGAAACAACAAGGACAAAAAACATCCCCTGATAACTACAAAGGAATAACTCTACTGTGTACAACAATGAAACTGTTCACAGCCCTGATAAAAGACAAACTGGAGAATCACATAATAGGGAAGAACAACAGGGATTTAGAAAGGAAAGATCACCAACCGACCCAATATTTACTATCAAACAAATAAAGGAAAAGGCAATAGAAATATAATACACCAGCATTCATTTGTTTCATCGACCTAACTAAAGCATTTGACAAGGTCAAGGTAGGTGACGTCATCAATTTACTAAAGGAAAAAGAAACACCAGCCAACATGGTAAAGGTAATCTGTAACCTCAACACCGACAACTCCACTCAAATTAAATCAGGACAACATATTACGAAAAGCATCCTAACACCAGGAGGAATTAGACAGGGAGACAGCCTCAGCCCACTCTTATTTAATATTCTTATGGACAAAATCATAGAAGAAGTAGCAACCTTAAATAAGGGATACAGAATGAGCAACAAACGTATCAACATGGTATGCTACGCCGATGATTCAGCCATTTTCGCAGAAAACGAGAACGACCTACAAAGACAGCTATTCAAGTTCTATCAAGTGTGCCGAGAGTTTAATATGACCATATCGGTCGAGAAAACAAAAAGCCTGACAATCACCAGGGAACCAATCAGCAAGCTCGTAATTGAAGATAAGCCCATAGAACAGGCAATGCAATTTAAGTACCTTGGGATTAACATGTCTAGCGGCCACGACCCAACAAAAGATCTAAGGGACCAAATCAACAAAGCATCAGCAACTTCAGGCTGCATTAGAGAGATTGTCTGGGCCAACGGATACATGTGGAAGGACAGTAAGATTAAAATATACAAAACATGCGTTAGACCAATAATGACGTACGCGATAGAAACAAGAGAAGACACGAACAGCCGAGATGAGGGTGCTGAGATCAATAGCTGGCAAAACCAGAAGAGACCACGTAAGAAACACCCACATAAGAGAACAATGCGACGTACAGGATATTGTAAGATGGGGAAGGCAGAGAAGAAGGCAATGGTATAACCACGTCAAGAGGATGGGCGAAGATAGATTACCCCGCATAGCTCTCGAGGGAATACCAGAAGGAAGTCCGCCAGGTAGACCGCCGAAGTTTACATCTCAAGAATTATTACAACGGTAAGCCCGGAATTAACAGATCAATTGATCTCAACCAAGTAGAAGAAGAAGAAGAAGAAGATTTGGAACATGTTGACGTAATGCCAGAAAAATTCAACAAAATTACCAAGAAAGTCAAGAAAGAGCTATATTATTTATATCTATATTTATGTCTGCTTATAGGCAATTGTGGCACGTGAGCAAGTTTGTAAGGGATGTTTCCAAAAAGGATTAAACTGTGTTTAGAATTTTCCAAAAAACCCTCGGTATATTCAACAAAAAAATATTGCACCCCAGTAAGATTTTGATAATCAAAACAATGAAAGACTTGCCTTCTTCGATACTTTATCATGTTGGTCGTCATGCTTATGGCCATAATTAACTCGACAACTATGGTATTACTTCGATCAGACTAATTTTAAAACATTTTTTACAATACAAAATAAGAAGCGTCAACACGAAACTATATATATATATATATATATATATATATATATATATATATATATATATATATACATGTATTTTTAATATATTTTATATTTTTGTGGTTGTTTTTATGAACAATATAAAAAATCTAAAATCTAAATTTTATCAATGAAAAATATGAGTAGCGTATGTATTTTAAAAGTTTTGTATCTGCAGCCATGTTTGGCGAACGCTTGGTTTTCGTCAGAGGCTATAGAGTATTATCGAATTTTAACTTTTTCTGATCTGCCTACAACTCGATCAATGAATGAGTTGTTGGTTCTCCCTTTTGGTTTAATCTCTTTGCTAAAATCCGACCGTTCGCGAAAGGAAAATTGCAGCCGAGTGTTATTAGCAATTTTACGTTGGTCGTTATTCATCGAATAATTCGCTCGACGCGACGAAGCTATTACAGTTACCGATATCGATTAGCCAGGGACGTTTTACCCTTACAGTATTGTATATATAACGGGTCCCTTTATTAAAATTGTTTCGGTGTTCCGAATGCTCAAACGGAATATTGGAGATGTCTGCCGTGTATTAAGTGCCGGTTGGGGAAATGGCGATGTTGAATTCGTTATTTTCCCGCGACGTTTATGGGGATTGCCTTCCTATTTGGTGCGAGGTTCGGATCAATTAGGTCGAATGGCGACGATAAAACGGAAAGTTTGACCGCTACAATAATTATTGTGCACGTGCTTGAGGTACTTGTTACTTTATTTATTTGAAAGCAAAAAATTTAATTTTAGCGTTTTTAATTAATGATATTCGATAATCACAATGCCCTTGATTTTTCACTGACTTGTATCGTTTTGATTGTGTGTTCGAAGTCGGATAAACTATAATTACTTTCCATCTTATCACATTGTCAAAACATTTTCATTAATGACATTGGTAAAGATCTTTATGTCAGTTTTCTGTTATATGCTGATGACGTCTTTTTTTTAATCCTGTGTTTAGAGGGTCGTCTCACCCTCTAAAATCAACCACTGGTTTCCAAATAATAACTTGCAGCTATACAGCTAAGTACAAGTATTGAGTATTATCATATTTTGATAAAGTTCTCCCAAGTTTGGTAACTTTATGTGGGTTGGGAGTAATATTCGACTTTAAATTATCCTTTGGTCTTTAAGTACTGGCAGATGTCTTAAAAAATTACGGATTTCTCGTATGATGGAGTAGAAACCTAAACAATGCAGAAGTAATAAAAATATTATCTAACTCATTTGTCAAGTTAAAGTGAGAGTATCCTTCAGTAGTTTGGTCTCCTGAGTACAATTAATAATGGCCGGTTCGCAGCCGTACTTCGCAGTGATGCCATCGACAGGGAATTGTCACGCACTTACTTACGCCAGGATCGACTGAATCTGGAAACGAAGGGAGCCATATCCGTGGTGCAGGACCAGGTTGTACCTACAAGGTACCATATCCGACATTCCCTGAAGCAGAACATCCCAAGCGATTTGTGCAGAGTGTGCAGTCAGAAACCTGAAACCATTCAGCGTATGATCGGCGCATTTAGCGAAATTGCTCCAAAACAATACTTGAATAGGCGTAATGACATAATAACATCTGCTACAAAAATAATTTGATTAAGAACATTTTGCCGTATTACAAAAGTTTACTGGATACAATGATCGTAACTGATAGACAAATACAGCATAACAAAGCGGGCGTTCTGTATATCAACGAAAATGAAAAATTGGCCTTTATCATAGATTTTGCTGTGCCAGCAGAAACCAACATATAGAAAGCATACGCTGAAAAAATTACAATTTATCAGGAAGTCTCACACGAGCTAAAAACCTCACTTCAAACAATCGAAGTCTTACCACTTATTATCTCGGCCACTGACCTTGTTGAAAAGCGACTAGCGAAAAACCTTGTGTAAGCTTGACTTCGGTCCGGTTAGCTTTTGAAACGATAACCCCCCTCCCCCTTAAAGGTAATACCAAAAAAAAATAGACAAATGTGCATTGAAGCATTATCCCGCTATGAGATCAAAATATTTGGGTGTCACGACCTCACGGTCCCAGTTCAGGCGAAGTCCGGCAACCTAACTGTGTGTAACTAACCACGGTCGGACTAGAGTGTCCGTCCGCAGGTTCGGGCCAGCCGGGAAAAAGGTAGTCGGAAACCTGCACGAAAAAGCTTATTTTGCACACCCATGAAAGTGGTGATTATGGTACGCACAAGACGTAACAGATACTCGGGCGGGCCGGGGCAGCATGATTTGGATCGGAACCGCCATGAGGACAGTCCTGCAATTGACCATGGCACCGAACAAGGACACTCACAATCAAACAAGAACGTGGCAAATTAACCGACAACAACTAGTGGCAACACGCGTGGCAATGGCTCGTCTCCCACAAGGGGGACTGCTATTAGAGGAGGCCGTACTGAAGGTGGAAGCCAAATAAAATGGACGAAAGAAATGAATATAGACGTTCCGAAAGCCGTTTAAACCAGTATTTAGATAAACCACATACAGGATATAGACGACTCCTCATGAAAAATTTACATGAGTAGGACCACACCCCTAACTGAACAAAATACCATCGATAGATTCAAAGCAACATTAAATAAACTGTATTTAACATCTGTAGAACTGGAGGCAATCAGAAGGCACATAGGAAACAAACTTCATCAAACAGAACTAGCTGACCAATCTGAAGATGATATAGAAGATGATGGGAGTAGTACAACACCAACTACGACAAAAATGAATCCTTTGGAACAGTCCGTGAATTTTATTGAAATTACTCAGATCAATGAAAGATCAGTTCTATTGTCATTTGCAGCATAACCGAAATATGTTACCGTTACCCATCCTCAAAAACATCATAAAAGCAATGGCACTAGTTCAAAAAATGAATTAAATTTTCATCATCATTCATAACATCTTTCTAAGAGCGAAAATCTGGTAGAGATAGAATTATCATTATACTGCAGTAGCTGCAATAGAATCCAATGACCAAAGAATATTCGAAAAATCTCAAATGACAACACAGCACAACTGAGACCAAAAACCTTCGTGGAAAGTGAGACTGGAAATGAACATAAACAGCGTTACAAGAAAAGCTGACCTAATCGATGAATATTTGAAGACAACCCCATCAATAAAAATTGAACGACACGTTATTATATTAAGTGACCTGGTAGCTCTCAAAATATGTTAGAACTAAAAGATATCTTGAGACAGAAGGTCAAAGTAAAAGGGCGCAGGATATGGAGATACAACGAATTATCCAAAAGAAAAAAACAAAACCAGGAGTTCCATGTTAATAGCAAAAAGTTTTTCAGAAATTTTGATTCGAGCACCAACGAGAACTGGGAAACGCCTCACATTTACCGAGAAAAGATTAAAAAATACTGGGATTCAACTTGGTCGGAGGGTCAAACTTACAATAATGAAACAAACTGGGCCAAAAGAATTGAAGGAAGATTTCAACATGTTCAACAGCAGAACACACAAGAATTCACAGTACAAGAATTTATAAGTGCCATCAAGAAAATCGATAATTGGAAAACACCAGGCCAAACTTCATAATTTCTGGTTGAAATATTTCACAGCTGTGCACGTACCACTAGTGAAAGCCTTCTCAAAAGCACTACATGAACTAGAAACTATCCCATAAGATCTTATAACTTACCTGCATTTTTTAATAGCATAATAATATTTATTTTACCATATTTGCAAAATGACGTTCGACATAAGATTTTTCAATGTTACTCTTTAAAAGGAACTTTTATTTTACTTGATTTCAGAGGATTTACCATCCTTAAAAATTGCAACAAAGGAGATAAAAGCAATAAAAAAATGGTCACTTATAATACGTTAAACTATTGTTAATTATTAGCCGAATAACTATAGGAAGAATTTCATATAACTGTAAATTCCAAACAACATTTAAATCAGCTGCAGTTTGCTCCTTAACAAAATGTTACAGTGCTTTAAATTCTTTATATAAACTAATGACAAATGGTTATCTTGTGCCAGGCTTCTCTGTAACTTGTCATCTTGTTTTGACAACCACTGAAGATCCAAGATCTGTTGGAGTCTGCTCTAATTTTACATAGGAAAGATATTATTAATATGACTTGATGGAGATAAAGCTCAAAAATGCCCCCTGCTCAACAGAAATGTCTCTAATGTTCAAGATATCCATGAAAATTTTTACATTCACAAATTATCGGTAGAATTTTTAGAGCTATGAAAATTTTGAATGAAAAATAACAATATTTTTGACATAAAAAAAGTTGGTAGCATGTTACTAATAAAATAATACTTTTGAGGCATGAGGAATGTGGAATTATTTGATAAATTTCTATCAGTCGGATTAGATGTACACCAGAAGTGAAACAGTTAAATAAGTAAAAAAAAAATCGAAAAAAAAGTACCATTTGCACTCTAAATATGAACTGTCGAGTACCATCGACAACTTGAATGACCAGAGAACAAGTAACCCGATGCACAACTGAAAACAGTATCTACCTAAAAGACACTGCACTGCCTATTTTATCAAGCGTTTTCCACCTTTTCCATGGCTTAAAGGAGTGAGTTTCCTTACAATTTCATCATTTGGCAAACTAAAAAATAAAATGTAAATTGATAAATGATTAGTACATCAAAAATAAGAAACAGAAATATATGCAAGTCTACGAAAAAATAGGACTTTTAATGTAACCCAAAAAACTTTTTAATAATAAAAAAATTGTAATAAGTAGTTATTTACACAAGATGATACTTGCAAGTCAACGACATAG